GTGTTATCGTTAAATGTGTATTAGTAGAATGACCAGAGGAACAGAATCATGACTGAGTAGACGAGATACGTAGAGTCGTATTCCTTTTTGGTCGTGAAGCCTCGATTGGTTGGTGTGGTTTGAGGGAGATACGCTCGACCTCGTTTGTTAGAAAACCTTATTTAAGGCATGATAAAAATACTAATATGTATGATTAGCGATGGCGGCGTACGAGACTGACTTGGATGAGACGAACAAGAGTGTACCTTTGAGAGACCAGCTCTAAACTCTATGTTCTGGTATACAATACGATGGGAATAGAATAGTAATTGCAGTACTCGAATAATGCTTTTGAGTAATGAATGATGCGGCGTGTGGTTATACATGTGGACGAATAGATAAGATGAACGTAATCTTTACTAATCAGCTGGTAGTTAGAGGCATCCATAGACATAATAGGAGGCAATTTCGGAATGAAAAATGTATGGTATGATAACATTAAAATACCCTCGACTAAGTGAATGAATGTAATAATAGACCATAAATGACATGGAAAAATTGGAACGAACTCACTTAAAGTAGGTGATTTTACGTTGTTGAATAGTAAAAATATAGTCCAGTGAGTTTCGAATGTCATAACGTGGAGTGGAATGTTCATAAAATGATAATTTGTTCGGTGAGTGATATGACTACGTAAATGTCGTAATATAATGTCAGCACGAACAAAAATAATAATTCCACATTCGTTCATAATATGATAATGTTATAATAAACATATGATGATAATTTGAATCATAATGGAACATTCCAACAAATGAATCAATGAGAAAAGTTGACATGAGGACAGAGTATCGATAAGATAATATGATTTGTGCATGTCCATGTCGTGCTGCACAGGCCTTGTTGTGTGCATCGGATTAGAGATTGTGCTCGCTTCGCTGAATTTGTTCGTCGAAAGTATCATGTGCAGAAATTTCATCGACGTAACTTGCTGCGTTGCGTTTGTCGTTGTCAGCTCACCACTTTCGTGGGTGGCCGTTGTCGCTGGGTTGCGTTAAGTTCGTTGTCGGCGAGAGTACCATTTTAGTGGCCCGTGATCTGACTCCAATTTGATCATATGAATGCTTGCTATCACCTATCCACGTATATAATCATTGACTTAAATCGCGTTAGCTAATAACGGAATTGAATAAGTCAAATAACAAGAATGGAGTTTTGAATGCATATATTTTGTTGATTAGACGAACGAACGGAGGAACGATGCGAAGATGAGAAAGCGAAGCTAAATTGGAGCGCGGTGGAGATGGCTGGTAAGCCAACTCTCCAGTTAACCAAGAGTTAGTCAAAATTTATAAGCACACAAAAATTAATCACAAACATATGATGAGTAATGGGATAAGAAGTGTACATACACCTACGCGCTCATATAAAGACAGTCAAGACATTGATAAGCGAATAATTAAACAGGTCAGAATGTGACTCAAATAGAATGAATAGAATGGGCTGTCCGAAAGTTAGAATAATAAGGTATTTGGGCGTAACATTATGTTAGACACCACAACGTGTCGAATAAGCCTCTACTGGTTATTCTGACAACTGCGAGATTAACGAGAACATGGCATAGAATAGAGTCTTCTTTATAAGTAGCATCGTATCAGAACACTCAGGACGGTAGAGTAACACTTGGACAATACAATAATCTTCACGAATTCCACCTAAAATAAGAGTGACTCCATTGTGTGGTGCATTAAATGTTTCCTAAATTTTGAGCTGAGATATATATCCCAACAATGAACAGACTTTGTTCAGTAATTTCTTTGTTTTATAAACTAATTGAATTAAAGTTTACTTCAGGATAAAAACAAACACTAAGTCGGGTAAATAGAGAAATTCATGAAATCTCGGAAGGTCGCTTTCTTCACGTTATATCTAGAGCTTAGATTCTTAATACCACCGCATATAACTTGAGCAATCAAACAATACAACTTTCCCTAGTGAGAAGTTAGAAGATAAGTGGAAGTAATGCTATCCCAAAAAGTGTCAATCACGGTGCAAAATTGTCAGGTATTTTTGGTTCTCAGTCTTCTGATACGCACGTCGAGATCATGTTATATTCTTGCAAAAGATGATTTGATGAAATATCTTCGGCTCCTTCTGAGCTTCTTGGAACTTCCTCGAGTTCACCCGTGGACTGTCGCTTTTCATAAATGACACACTACAAGAATAGTTTACACACGATACCCATAATAGAGATGAAGAAATTTATTAAATTCTGAATAATAAAGCTCTTGTGGAAAATCATGTTTCTCTTAGTACTTCCAAGTCGTAACAGTCAAGAACTCAGACCTGAACGTCTCTAACATCTTGAAGCCACATGTCGGTTGAATTTTACAGTTTAGTTGTAAGGAATTTTCGTTGAGATTGAGCCTGTAGATAGTAAACGTGATTATTGGATGCCGACTGGCTCAGTAGTCTAGATGTTGAGTGTTCACGTGTGAGAACGATAAGTCCTGGTTCCAAATTCGGCGAGGAGCGATCATGAATGCACACTGCTGAGGAGTCCCACAAACGGCCGCTCAATGCTTACAGGTTTTCATTGATGGACTAACATCGATACAAAGATACAATAACTTCTGAACAAAATGAGTCTTCTTCAGTAAGCATCGCAACATAATGTATTGATCTGGTACTAACCTAATCTTGAACATGTTGTTATTTAACTTTTATCACAGGATGTCGTGATGACGGTTTTTTATGGAAGGAAGACTAATAGATAAGTAGTGATTAGTAGTTAATTACTGGATGCGTATTGTTTTTTCAAATATTCACGTTTTAGCTACTTATAGTGTAGGAATTCGGTCAACAATGCATTGTCAATAATCTTACATGATTCAGACTTGTATTAAATAGAGTATTATCGATACTAAAAGTTACATGGTTAGATCTATCCATGTAATCTGAAGATACTTGCAGAAATCTGTTGATTTTTATTCTTTTTCCTAATGACAGACAAATACCATTATTAATTCAATAATATTAGACAGTCTGTCAAAAGGTAATTCATTTCACTCAACAACAACAACAAAAGCAATAACAAAAACAAATTACTACCGATAATTTTATTTGAAAGATAGTGAAAAACGACAATAAAATGTAAAATACCAATACCCGTAAACTATAAGCAAGGCATTGAATACATGTGTGTTACTTTAAAAAATCTTTAAGATTATTTATTTGTATCA